TCTCTCTCTCTCTCTCTCTCTCTCTCTCTCTCTCTCTCTCTCTCTCTGTCGGAGATTTCTTTTTTGTTTGGTCCCTGGTTTTGTTTTGTTTCCAAAACAGGGTTTCTTTCCCTGTGTAACAGCCTTGGCTATCGTGGAACTCACTTTGTAGACCAGACTGGTCTTGAACTCACAGAGATCCTCCTGCCTCTGCTTCCCGAGTGCTGGGATTAAAGATGTGCACCACTACTGTCCAGCTTTTTGTTGTTGTTGTTGTTTTGTTTTGTTTTGTTTTTCTACTTGTCTCTGTCACTGCAGACATTAAATCAAGTCATCATTTCTTAGCTGAACTAAATCGGTAACCTCATGGCTGCTTTGTCCACAGCCAGCTGGAAGGCAAAATTGAGCTATTGACTGTAAATAAAATAGTGTCACCCTTATACCCGATGTCTTCAATGATTCCCATTGCTTTTAAGAATTAGAATTTTGTTGGGTGGTGGTGGCACACACCTTTTAATCCCAGCACTTGGGAGGCAGAGGCAGGCAGATATGTGAGTTTGAGGCCAGCCTGGTCTACAGAGTGAGTTCTAGGATGGCCAGGGTTATACAAAGAGAAAATAAAAATAAGATTTTTATTTTAAAATCTGAAAGAGACTGTAGGGCCTACATTAGCTTTCTATGGCTATTAATCTAAATTTTAATTTTTGGGGTTTTTTTTTATTTTCTCCGGTTTATATATCAAAATAGCTTAAAAACACAACTTAAATATTTATTTCATTCATAATTTAAAATATGGCAGTCCAAGGTTTCTCTGAGTCTCAGGCTAAGGAGTTTTTGGTAGAAGTTGTTTATGTCATTGCAGTAGCAAGTCAGAAAGCGACAAGAAGGGACAAGGACAAGATATAAGCTCCCAGAAGCCTGTTTCTTCCAGCTGCCTGCCCCACAAGGCTTCACTAGTCTCCAAAGTTGGGCCACCAGGTGGGGTCCAAGCCTTAAACTCATGGGCCTTTAAGCACGAAGTCATTTCTTCACAGTTCTGAAGTAGAAGACGCAGGTCAGGCTGTGGAAGTCGCACTTCGGAAGTTCTCTTCCGGGCTAGGTTTCCTCTGCGGTCTTTACGTTGTGTTTACCTTATCCGGGTCTCTCTGGCCATGCTGGGTTAGGGCCCGCTCTTCCGGACATCTCCAGTTCCTGTCCACAGATGCAGTTACGTGTGAGCTTCAAAGAGTTAGTGTTCAACTGTATGAGTTTGAGGGAGATGCTGTTCACCCCATAATAGAGCTTGCGGTGATATGGTTGGGAGGTAGGCTCAATCAGAGCTCAGGACTCCACGATGTTTCTGTAGGCCTGGAAGCCTGCTGCCTCTGCTGTTTTCATCAGCCCTGAGCTACTGTTGGGTCAGTGCATCCAGAAAGGCTATCCTCTGCTGGTGGGACAGCCATCTACTCTCTGGTGACAGTGGTACACAGGACGCAGGTAGAGAATCCCTTGTCTCATTTCAGTCTACGAAGCTACTGTAGCTGGGCATTCTGTTGCCTTCCTCCACAAAACCCAGTTACAGCTGATGGTAGTGAGGTGACAGAGTTCAGTTTCGACATTTTCCCTTCTCTCTCAGCAGAGGTGCTCATGAACCATGAGTTGACTCAAAAGCCAGAAGAATATGAAGTAGAGGAAAAGATGTCAGGCATCCAGTTACCCCAAAGAGCAACACCCTCAATACTAACTCTTGAGTTCTCCTCAAACATAAATGCCTTTCTTTCTTGGTTGGGTCAGGACAGCCACCACTGTGTATGGACATTAAAATGGAGAGGTACTGAAAGCTTGCTTCCTTCACGGACAGAACCTGCCGTGCATTCTGTAAAGAAGGAAAAGAGAGCCTGGTCAGTTCTGGATGATAAACAGACGAGTTTTCTAGCTGTATCTCGGGCATCACTAGGAGCACGTTTTCCTCCTTGAGATATAGTGGGCACAGGAAAGCTTTTGGTCATAGGAACTGCAGCAAGCCTGACGATGGGGGACAAACGTGCGGCTGCATCTGAAAGTCGCTAAAGCTCCCAAGCTTAGCCAAACTATGTTCTGTTTTCCTGACTTGGTGAAGTGTTTTCATGATGTCCAGAAAAGGAGACTTTAATTTAAAATTCTTGGATTCTGTGGGATTTCCTGACTGAGCATGACCGTGGAGGGAACTGCTCAGGTCGGCCATCCTCTGCTCTTTGTCTAGGTTCTTCCTTCTCGACAAACAGCCAGGTTCATATTCTCCATGGTCTCCTCTAGGCCACTGTAAGAGAAGGGCAGTGGCCGTGCACACTGGGAATTAGCCCAGGCGCAGATACCAGTTCCCTGCATATTTTACTCCAGGTACCAATGTTTTTATGTCTATGTCTAAACGTTTCAGTAAAGGAAGGCAACAAAATTTTATGTACACATACCCATGCATGTAAGTACATTGAAATTGTTTTGTTTTGTTTTAAAAAGACAGGGCTGGAAAGATGGCCAAGCAAAAGAACACTGTCTGTTCTTCCAGAGTACCCAGATAAGTACCCAGCAGTTACCTGGCATGTAGCAACTGTCTGTAACTCCAGTTCCAGGAGATCAGACACTCCCTTCTGGCCTCCAGGGACATTAAACATGCACATGGTACCCGGACATACATGCATACATGCATACATTCATATATATAACTTTTAAAATTTTAAATAGGACATAAAATATACCATCTTAAAAGTACTTTGAATGCACAGTTGGAATTGTTCCTTGTCTTTTTGTTGTAAAATGATATCCAGATCCTTTTCTCCTACACATCTGAATCTCTGTACATGTTTTTTAAAGAAAATACTATTTCCTCCCCCCAACACACACAGCCTTCGTAATCACCATTCTGCTGGGACTGTCCTGGGGTCCTCTGTGTAAGTGGTGTCACCCAGAAAGCTGAGACATCTCCCAGCTCCCATCTTTAATCTTTGAAGAAACTTCTTTCTCTTTTTAAGATTTTTATTTTCAATTATGTATTTGCAGGGGAGGTATGCACATGAGTGCAGATATCCTTGAGGGCCAGGAGACATCATTGTCTACCGGAGCTTGAGTTACAGGCAGTTGTGAACCACCTGAGGTGGCTGCTGGCAGCCAAAATCAGGTCCTCTGGAAGAGCAGCAAGTGTGCTTAACCACTGAGCCATCTCTCCAGCCCCAGACATTCTGTGGCAGTTGTACCACTTTTAAATCTCACTACTGGTGCACAGGATTACAGTTTCTCTACATGTCTTCACTTGTCATTGCCTGTATGTTTTTTTTCAGTATTAGCTGTTCCAGTGCTATGCCCTCGTGTATCTAGGGTTCTTACAGTCATATTCTTGTCTGTGTTTTGTTGGTTCAGTGCCTTTATGGAAGAAAGAGGCCTCAAGTTCTCTAGCCTCCCACACACTGTCACAGTAGCCATGGTTATTTTAATAAGCATGCTTCGTTATTCCTTCTCTCAGTGTGACGTTCTAGGAAACACTACCTTCAAACAGAGCAAAGGAAAAACAACCCAAATTAGTGCTAGGTTTAGGGTTATGCAAATAAGTTATTGACATAGTTGTCCCCCTCTTACTTCCTCATAGCTGTTGACATGGAACTGGGAGGGTAAACCCCTTCTAACTTCAGAGAGAATGCCACTGTATCGCTGGCTCCTGCTGGTTAGACTTTTGTATGTTTACTAATGTGTGCCAATTAGCTGAATACTTTTTCTAATATGGTTCACGACCTTCATAATTTGCACAGTTTCTAAAGGATCGGGCTACACAGCTTATGGGCTTCCTACTCACTGGCTTAAGTGTAAGAACTGGACAAGTCGGTCCTGTGTGCTCGGGCTTCATGGAAAGGGCACTGTTTCTGAGCACAGCCCCGCTGGCCTAAGACAACTTGGTTTGAACATTTTGGCTTTGTTATAAAAGTGGGAACCATCAAAAGAGATTTTTCACAAGAACAACACAGAAGCTAAGAATTGAGTTGATACCGTAAATTTGACCAGGGTTAAGTACTACAATTACTATCTATTTTCAGCAGCTTCCCACCCCTTCAGTCGCGATGCTCACTCCATGGCATGAGGGAAAAGCAGAGGGATCGGCATGGGTGGCAGACTCTTAGCCTTCTGCCGTTGTTTTTATGTCTTCAGCAAGGGAAGCCCATCTTGGTGCTACTTAGCAATGTTGTGGTTTGGTGCTTCAGCTGGGTGGGGTACATTCATGCTGGTTGGGGACCCACTTAACTAGATCACTGGAGATGCAAACACGGTGTTTCTCTGCAGCACCCAAAATGGTTCCACCAAAGCATGTGAGCTGAGTCCCAGACGCTAAGTCCTAGCTTTGACACTGTCGTGTTAACTCAGCTTGTGCTGTGTCTGCACATGAAAGAAGGCAGCGATCGTAGCACATTAAGATGGCAACTGTCAGGCTAGTACTCAGAGGCAGAGGCTGTGCCCACGTGAGCCATTAATGGCTGGGTGAGTTCAATCAGATACGCCGCCTCCAGTGTGTGCATAATGTTATTTACTAGATTTTAAATGGACTGCTGAGAAAGATGAAATATAATCTCATGTATTATCTCTGTCTTGTCTTGAAAAAAAAGGTAATTAAATTGTTCTCTTGCTAGCGTATATTTTATTAACCTTCGAAGAGTCAACTTAGAGAAAGGTGTCCCTGTAGAGTGGAAGCCTTTCACTCAAGTGGAATGTCACGAAGTGACTTTGTGGGCTCTAGGAATCCCATATACCTGGCTAGCTGGATAGCATTGGGAAAGACAACAGGAATTTCATTATTTCCCCTTTGTTTCTCTTCTTTACAGAACCCGGAGAACGTTCTAGTGGAATTCAACCACAAGGAGTTGTTTGATTTCTACAACAAGGTCTGTGTTTTAAATGTTTTCTGAAATGTAGAGATTTGCTAACACTTCTGGTTTTATACATTTTAATTGTTTAATACCTTATTATAGGGCTGAATTCTTTAAACTCCTGTAAACACCTCATATCTCATAGTAACTTCCTAGACAGCACCAAGATAAAGAGAATCTGAAAACTAAGCCAGAAAGAAAATGAAAATGGCTTTAACTAAAGAGATAGGGTTGATGCTTTCTGGAAGACCGAGCAGGGCACTGTGCCCCCGGGGCCTCTGGTCCATTAGCTGTAGATCACCTGAAGTACTTCAATGGCTGGGCCCAAGTATAGAAGGAAGCTGCCAGATTTTAGTGATTTATCTTTCATTTGTATTTCATTTTTCTTTCCAAATACTGATTTTTGTACCCCAGGAAAATGCATTCCGCTAACTACCAAACTTTAAAGTCTTTACCATATGGTGATACTTTACTAAGAAATAGCTGGGCACACGCAAGACAGTAATACTTAGAAGTCTTCATCCTTCATAAATGTAAAAATAAATGAAATGACAAGCCCAAATCCTAACATGCTTACCTAGCAAGAAAAGTGGCTTGAGTGTTCCCGTTATGCCCTGTGTGGGGGTTCATTGTGTGAATGCCTGCTACCATTGCTTCTCTTTGGTTTGCGTGTCTCTAACATTTTGTATGGTTTGTTCCCTTCACTAACTTTCTGTCTTTATTTTTGTCTTTATAAATAGCTAGAGACCATACAAGCACAGCTGGATTCCCTTTCATGATGCCCTTGAAGACCGGCTTCGCCCTCACATTCCTGCCACCTCATTCTTTTGCGTTGAAGAGGAACTGCCCGAGTATATTTTCGAGAGGACTCAGTGACTTTATTCTACAGATACTATGACTTCATCATTTCTTAAACAAATACTTTCCATGAAGGGAGATCACAATAAGAGCACTGGGGTTTCTGGTATACCCTCTCTCCTCACGTGAGCCAAGAACAACTGTTGAAAACTCTCGGAAAGAAATCACAGTGAATGCCATATTGCCTTTTCGTCTGGTTGCTGCCTCATCACTTTGCCGCAGTCTTGCTTTCATGGATCAGTGAAGGTCTGTAGGCGGAAGGTGGAATGTGTGCCCTAGCAGAATATGGAGCCTTATAATTACATTTCTTAATTAGAGAAGCGGCCCCGGGCCATCAAATGCTTTGACATTTGTCTTACGACTTTATTTTGCTTGAGATAAAATACAAGAAGGGAATCAAAATGGTGCCAGTGTTATCATGTGTTAATTCCAGTGTGATCCTCTTGCTCTGCCCACTTGAATTTTCCTGTCTTTAATGGTTTAGCAATCGTCTAGGTTTATATATACTATTGCAGATTAATAACAGAGCAATTCACAGCATGGAGAGGATTGAGATCGTGAGTGAAAACACCTGTGATGAGTCCTGCGTGGGAATCTGACATTATAAATCAGAAACTCTTTGCGTTCTCCTTCTGTGGATACACTCAGTCAGTGGTGTCTGTCAATAAAAGTTTTCTCCTTTAGAATTCTTTAAACTCAAGTGTACAGTATTTTTACTTTACATTTTAAGCTGTGATCATGTATAAAAATATGTGATTTCCTGGAAAAAAACATTTGAAATTTTTATCAGGGAAGTGTCTTACCTTGTTTTCAGGGGAAGAAGAGAGCGGCTTGGACACAGCCCTCTTCACAGGAAGGAACGCGATTTCAGAACAGATTTTCCTGTGGTTAAGCAAACAAAACAATTACAGCTGAGCGCATTTCTCCCGGCAGTGTCCCACTATCTCCAGTCAGCGTTGAGTGTGGGCCACTGAGCCCCGTGTGTGTTTATGCAAAAGTGCTGTCCCTGAGAAGAACTGGAAGTTCAGGTTGCTGCAGAAAGCAACTGTCACAGCTGTTAATCCCTAATTGATGGATCCGAAGGGTTGGAGAGCACCAGCTTGCATTGCAGTGCAGCTCAGCGCAGGTTATAACGTAGCGTCACGTGCTTCTTTCTGTGACCTGTAGGGTCGCTCTTTCTTTCTTTTTCCTTGGATGGCGTCTTAGGGTTTCTGTTGCTGTAACGAAACATCATGACCAAAAGCAACTTGGGGAGGATGGAGTTTATTTTGGCGCGTAGCTCTCAGGTCACACTCCGTCCTTGAGGGAGGAACCTGGAGGCAAGAGCTGAAGCAGAGACCATCAAGGGATGCTGCTTGTGGGTAGCTCTTGTGGCTTGTACCTGCTTTATTACACACCCGAGACCACCTACCCAGGGTTGGCACCACTCCCAGTGGGCTGGGCTCTCCCACACTAATCACTACTTAAGAAAATGCTCCACAGGCTTGCCTGCAGGCTAGTCTTCTTGGAGGCATTTTGTCAGTTGAAAGTCCGTCATCCCAAATAATTCTAGCTTCACCAAGGCAAATGACTTCACTGTTGTCTTAGTTAGGTTTTCTGTTGCCATCGTAAAACACCGTGACTGAAAAGTACCTTGGGGAGCCAAGACTTTATTTCAGCTCACACTTCCACATCACAGTCCATCACTGAAGGACGTCAGGGCAGGACCTCATGAGGAGCCCGTGGAGGATTGCTGCTTGCTTTCTCCCCATGGCTGGCTCAGCCTGCTTTCTTCTCCCAATCCTGGACCACCTGTCCTGGGGTGGCACTGCTCACATGAACTGGTCCTTCCCCATCAGTCATCAGTCAGGAAAAGAAAATGTCCTACTGACTTGCCAAAGGCCAATCCCATAGAAGCATTTTTCTTGATTAATATTCCTTCTTTCCTAGCTTGTGCCGCGTTAGCACAAAAACTGGCCGGCACAGCCATGTTGCCCAGGTCGGCCATAGTCTCCCCGACCCAGGAATCCTGTTTCAGCCTTCCCAAGAAGCTGGAACTGTGAGCATGTCCTCCTTACCCAGCTTCCTCTTGCCTTTTCAATGCTCTGTCTGACCAGTTTCCAAAGACTACCTGAATCTCAAAGGTACTCTAGAATACTGTGTGTGTGTTTGTGTGAAAATTCGTTAGATTTATTTACAGGACCAGTCTCAAGTTAGAGTTGTTTAACCTTCTCAACTGTGACCGTACAGATAGGTCGAAGTTTTTATTGGTGTAGTTTTTATTGGAGTAATGGCCAAATTAAATTTCCAATGTCTGAAGTATAATAGTTAGAAATCAAGCTTTCGGAAAGTAGCTCATTTTTTGCTCTCTTCAAACTATCTGTACAAAAGCATGATGGGCAGTATCCTCTCCATTAGCCTGGTTCAACATAGTCTCACTCAAGGACAATAAAGAAATTATACGTTGGCTTAGTTACAGCGAGGCTGTGGCGATAAAAGGATAGGTACCTACCAAGTTCACAGATCCGTGATCACATGCCTGGTAACATGCTGGGCAGTGACAGACCACATGTATGATGGGCTGTAGCGTATCACTGCTAGGCCGTGTAGGCTTGTGTAAGTACATTTCTACATGCCCAACGATGGGATTGCCTGATGACACGTTTCCCAACACATTCTCATCATGAAGCACTTGAGGGTTTACTAGAAAGAGAATTACTCATGAGAACACGGAGCGAAAACCTTCTGCAAGGATGATGGTGCTTCTGTGTTTATTTTAAATTAGGAAGTACCGAAAAATGAATAGCCAGTGTAACCTGTGGAGTCTCATCATTCAGAAATGGCCATTAATGACATTTTGGTAGGTTTTTCACTTTTTAAATTTCCTATCATACATCTTTAATATTCATTTCCTTCTTTTCCTAACAAATTGAGGTTGTGCTGTAGTTTAATTTTTATGTCATTGTAATGGGCATTTTCCCTATCTTTATTGTCCAAAACATAATTTAATTTATAGTAAATAACTTATCATTTGAATAAGCTAAATTGCTATGTTGTTAAACATTTAGATTATTTCCACCTTTAAAAATGTTAATAAAGAACACTATGATATCGAATGCTAGACCACATCTCTCATTATGTTATTGTCAGAGATTCCTAGAAGTGGAATTGCTGTTGCAAAAGTATGAAGATGTATTTTCTGTTTTTATATTTGATGCTAATTTTATTATAAAAGTAATAGTTTAAGGACAAAAATAGGAAGCTGTTCCATTTTGCCATCTCAAACTCTAGAAGTGTCCTTTTTATGTTTTTATTTCTTGAGAATTTCATACAATATAGTTTGACCATATTCCTCCCCCACAACACATCCTCCTAGATCTATCTCCCACTCAATCAACTTCTTGTTCTTTCTCTCTAAAAAAGAAAAGAAAAGAAAGAACCACCATGCTAAAAAGGCACAAACAGGGAGTCAGGTCCGTGCCCATCCCCCTTCCCCGTGCTGGGGTTTTGCCTGTCTTGACCTTGTGCAGGTCTTATATACGCAGGCACAATCTCCTGAGTTCACCTGTGTCTTTAAACGGTGTTTCCTTGGAGTCATCCACCACCTCTGGCCCCACTCCATTTTCCACCTCCTCTGCCACGCAGAGCCCTGAGCCCTGAGGGGAGAGGTTTGATAAACACATTCCTTAGGGGCTGAGTGCTCCAAGCCTCCTGCTCTCTGCACAGTGATCTGCTGGTCTCTGTTAATTCCCCGCCACTGCAGGAAGAAGCTTCTCCGAGGCTTGAGTGACACAGTGATCTACAGATACCGCAGTGTGCTTTGGAACTCATTTCCTTGCTGGACTCCTTTAGCAGAATAGTAGTAAGTTTAGAAGCGTGTATTTCATTGTGATTAACAGTTTGGTTTCTGTATTTTCAGACAGGCGAATACATACAAAAATATTTTAAATATATTCATTTTATTTCAAGACCTCTGCTACATATTGCTAAGTTGTTTCCCCAACAGTTATTTTGTGTTTGTGCTCCCTCCACCAGTGACTAAGAATTCACACACCCCAAGCTTTTCTACCAGCGTTTCCTTCCTCCTGTACATCCTTCTTCTTCTTCTGAACATTCTTCTTCTCTGGGAGTTATAGTTCGTATCAGTCAAAGGACTGAAGAAGGAAACACTGCTTTCCAGTAGAAATATGTTGTTAGTAAATCCAGGACTGAAGAAAAAAAAATGTTGTTTTTTTTAAGATCAGCAAATGTCTGCAGCACAGTAAGTAAGGTCTTGAAGTCAGATATTTACTTTCTTCATACATATTCACGGAATGCCAATATTCACATGCTGCCAAGAAGTCTGCGTGCATAGCCACCGTGTTGATCATGATGAACAAAACAAACAGTCCCTACCCACTTGGAAGTAGAACGTGAGGGTCACTAAAGTAAACAAGCTTGCAGTAAACTGACAAGCGTGTGAGAAGTAATAATTGGAGTCTATTAGAAAAAACCTCACCACGGAACCAGACCTGAGGCTGTGGGTTTCAGGAAGGATTCTCTGGGGAGTGAGACTTGAACTGAGTTCTATTCAATAAGGTATAATGACAGAATGGAATTAGAGAGAAAAGCATTTCAGACAGACAGACTGCTTCTTGCAACAAAAACACCCTAGAGGTTAGGAAAGACTTAGTAGTGTATTTCAAGGACCAACAGATCTGTATGCGTAGAATATGCTTGACAGTGGACTAGGGGAGCTGCTACGGCGTGTGAGCTAGACCCGTATCAGTCCCCACCAACTGCTAACATTTCTGTGACCTAAATACATCATTTTCCCTGTATCCAAGCCACCACCATCTTTGCCCTTAGACTACCCTGCATCCACTCCAGCTCGCTTTCAGCCCAGGCTTCATTCAGGGCTAATTAAACAGTAATCCTACTAATTATACCATTTCATTACTTAAAATCCTTCAAAGGGTCCCATTATACATCAAACAAAATGTAATGACCTGGCCCCTCAGCCTTATGCTAATTCATGTTTGCTGTGCATATGGAAAACAAATTGCAATTTGCTAAAGATCATTTCTCTTAGTTTCTTAATAGGAATAATAATCTAAACAATAGGAATGTTTTGAGGATTAAGTGAGATAATTTGTGTTAAGCATTTCATCTAACTCTGATTCCTGTAATCACATGAAAGTGTTAGTGGTATTTTTACAACCCTTGAGAAAATAGGCTTTTTATTGAAAGGGCTTCAGGTTAGATTGAATTATTGTAGAAATTACTAACAGCTTTATGAAAGTCTTTCTGAGTTTATTTGAAGTTCTAACAACTCCATCTTTTCTACCATAATGCTAGGCTATCCCTTCTTAATTTTCTATTATCTAACTGTTGTGGTATATACATGATAGCACCAGAATAAGAAACATGTGTTTGTTTGTTTGTTTTGTGAGTACCTTTCCACATGATCCTTCTAGCTTTAAGAAATCTTTCCCTCAGACTGGGGAGATGGCTCAGTGGGTAAATGTACTTGTTGCTCAGGGCTGATAACCTGAGTTCAACTCTCCAAAATGCATGTAAAAGCAAGACATAGAGTTCAAGCATCTGTGGTCTCAGTTGTTCCTATGATGAGATGGGATATGGAGAGAGGAACATCCCTGGAAACTCAGCCTAGCTAGCCTAGTGTATGCAGTGGGAACAAGAAAGAAGCAAGGACCAACACTGGAGGTTTGCCTTT